TACTTCCACTTTCCTTTGTCAGCTTTATTTGAGCAGTCTTACTCTATCTCCTGCCTTTCCCTTTTACTAAAGCCTTCTTTCTTACCTTAATCCTACATTTAGGCATATATGTGGGCCAGGGATTCACTCATGTCCCTAGTAATTACTATTACTTGAAGGAGAATTCCATCAAAACCCACTGTTTAATTTTGTAGAGCCCTTAAGCACATGTTGCTATTGTTTCTCCTTGCCTTTTTTCCAAATTCTAACCTGTATGTAAGTTTGTATCACACTTGATCTGTAGAGTAGCAACCACAAGGAACTAGAGATCCTTAATTTTGACTGAGTCAGTTCAGATATTTCAAGGCCCAGAGCGCACAAAGTCCTGAGGAATAAGAATTTGGTAGGATTTTCTCAGCAATACTACCATTAAATAAGATCAGTTTCCTAGCAGTTAACATCCACTGTACCCAAAGCAATCTCCCATTTCAAACCCTGTTTGTCAGTGTAGGATTCCTAAGTGGGAAGAGAAAGAAATAGATTCAATATCTTCTTTTATTTGTTTATTTCCAAAACACATCCTATACTAAACCAAGTAGGGACCTGTTTTCTATAAATATGTACTCATCTTCATATTAAAACCTTTTTCCTTCTGAATGTCTTTTAAGAACAAAAAGCACTAACTAAAGTTATCACAGCTTTAATCAGCTGTGCATCCTCACCATGTTGTGAGCATTCATATGCTATATCACAGGAAGTCCTATACAAAAATACCCATTTCTGACTTCCGTATATGATCCTGACAATCATAAGATATTTTTTAGAGAAAGAAATTAAAGCATAAATTATAACTTGGGTTTTTGGTTCAATACTTACAAACATTACATATCCTGGAGAGACAGGAGACAATACAAGTTGCAATGATTACTTTTGTGACTGTCCATTATCCCTTTTCCATACTTTTGTTACCATTGTGGATCAAAGGTAAAATTCATACCATTCCTTAACAATTTTCCCCACACAGTGGAAAACCTTCCTAACTAGTCAGGAACTCCATGCGTTTCAATGTCTCAGCTTGGCCTAGGTGTGTCTTATAAATTGGCCATTATCCTCAGACAGTAGAAATGCCCAAGAGTATTTGCCCTCCCAATATATGCACACATCCAGATCTTTGTGCAAGTGAAGGTAGTCATGGAGTGTTTCCAGGATTAGTGTGTTCTCTGCTGCTCCCTTAATCTCATCCTGTGTTGCAGGAGCATGGCTTACTCAGGACGAGGGAAAAGGAACACAGAATATGAGATCATCAGACCTGTACTAGAGAGCTGATATATTCCAGGCATGAAAAGGGTGGAGGGAAAAGGGCCATCACATGGGGATTCTCCTCTCTTCTATCCCCAGAGCCCAGAGAGCTTCTGAATAAAAAACCCACAAAGGAATATTACACTTAACCTGGCAAACTTCTCTTCAAATACCTGTGCTTCTCTCTTGCCCTCCTGCACATCCCGGAGGTTTGCTCTTAGATATACTTTTTACAAATCACAACTGAATATATTATTCTTTGTATGAGAATGAGCTTCCATTTTTCCCATATTCAATATAGTTCTCAAAATGCAAAGACATGGGCATGTAAAGGCAGATTCCCAGTCCGGCCAAGCAGAAGTGCAGAGAAAGTTTGGAGGTAACGTTATCTGTTCAAGTCATCTAAACAACTACGGAGCAACTTCAACAATATGGTACATATCATCCTTCTTGCCTCCAGTGCTGGTGAGAAGAACAAGAGACGTTTGACCTTTCAGCCTTTGGTTACATCCAAAGTAACTGAATTGCTTGGACTTACTAATTTATGTATAGCTTCACAAGCAAGGGTCTGGAGGGTCTGAATCCGTATGCTGAGCATAGCTGTACTAAATAGAAATGAGAAATATAACATGATATACAGTCTAGCAGATTAAATCCATTCATTTCCCATCACATAAGACTTAAGGCTTTATTCCACATAGTACTTACTGCCTTGCAAGTATAACAACCCAAACACACCAAACTCCATATACAATACTCCATGGCTCAACAGCAACATATCTTTTTAGGGTGAAAGAACAAAACGTGGGAAATATACTTCGCAGCAGACAAAGCTAAGTGACTCTGCAATTGCTAGTTTAACCACATTCCCATCTGCAATGTACTGGTTGTTTTAAGCATGTTTCATTGGATTGCTGTAAGCAGAGACTTCTAGCCATACCAAAACGTTTAGAGGCCTTGTGATACTTACGTTAGTAACACCACAGTTTGTATAACACAAATGGCAAATAGAGGCTAGTTAACAGATAGCTTTTTAGGAGCAGGCAGTGACAAGTCTAGTCTTCCTATTCCAATTTCCTGGTTATAGGACCCAAGTGGTCCTACTCCCAAGTAGAGATCAAATGTGGAAAGTGTGTCTAACCCATGTGCAGAACTACATAGCATCTAAATAACCATCTAAGGAGTCCACTTTGAGGGCATGAGACAGCTAGGAGTGGGTAGCAGGTGCTATATGGTGCCTTCTATTTAAAGGGGGGAGAGTATGAAAAGAAGTTTTACATGTCACATACTGAGAAATTCTCCAGGGGGTGGCTCAGTAATCACTGTACCACTTGAAAAACATGTACTCCAGCTGGGTGCTGTATTTGGCATTTGAGCCATTTGCTTCATCCAATGTAAAACCACATGTAAATCTTTCACAGAGCACCAGACTTTTCCAGGACCTACATACTACAGTTTCAGCAGCTCACAAGGAAATTGTAAAATCAGATTGGCTGAATGGTACAAACTGGGACAAGGAGGATGGGAACTGCAGTATACCTCCAGGTCCAGCTGCGTGGCCATTGTTTGGCTTTGCACACAGATCCGTTGCCATGCCTGATGCTATGTGCATCAGGAAAGACGATTTTCTTCTTATGCAAAAGCTGATCTTACTCAGAACTGATTTCCATGACATCTGGTCATTACATTGCTATGGTTTCTCCTGAAACTGCTGTTTCACCACATTTCCATAATGGGAACAAATTGGAAGGAGAGCTACTGCATTTGAAAAAAATCTCAGCAATTTAACAAACCTCATCTCTTCTCTTCCCCATTTTACATTTTAAAACACTCCTTAGAGACCCAGAAGAGACTGAGAAATGTAATCTAGAATGTAAGAACAGTCAAAGATGTTAAAGTTATTACACTTACATAGTAGTCATGTGCTATATTTAAAAGGAAAACTTGTGACACAATTCATAGAACAGTCTTGGTAACAATCCATATTTATTATGGGTTATTACCCATAATAAAATTATTTATTTTTTATTATTTTATTCATAATAAAATATTTATTATTGCTTGCTTTTAAATACCTATACAAAAAAATATCCTTTTGTGTCATTAAAAAAGTGTCATTGCGTTAGAAGCATTACTAGCTATGGAAAATACCCAACTGAAGACACAACCTCAGGTTCTCTATTTCCTGGGGGAACGTCCTGTATGATACAGATATTGTTCTGTAGAGGCAGAAGCAGCTAACAATTGTTGTGCTGCGATTTTGTGATAACACGACTGGAAGAGGGAGCGTGAACCTCTTCTATCATGTCCGATTCTAAGAATTCTAGGGACAGCACAGGGTCCCCAGTAGCTCCTCTGGAAAGATAACTCAGCTAATAATCAAGCTTTATGGAGAGGCAAGGATCACTAATGCTTTTTATAGGAATTGATCTCAAGTCTCCTTGAAGTTCCTTAAAATTTCTAACTCCCACTAACTTTGTTAGAAATTGTACACACTCAGCATCTCCAAAGATTAGAGTTACAATGAGAGACTTTCTTCTAATGATCTCACAGTACTGAATTTAATTATGGTTTACATCACCTTATATCATCTCTTGAGACTGAAAAGGATATTGTTACCATTTTACAAAAGCATGAGCTGCAGCATAGAGAGCTTATGAGATATCCAAAAAACTGTCATGGGACAAAATTAGCAGAAGAAACAAGAACAGTTTTATGCACTGTGCCAATGCCACCCTCCTGGTTTTTGGAGGATCTTTTGGTGATTTTGTAATATTTTTCTGGTTTCAAGAATAGCCCTTAATCGATCTCCAGAAAGAATCACACAAACAACTGGGAGAACTGAGTCACTAAAGAAATAAACTCGACTACGCACAAAGAATTCTCAGATACACACTCTAAGCTCACTGAAAAAAAAAAAAAAAAAAAAAAAAAAAAAAAAACAGACAAACTTCCTCTAATCCTCCATGTAGAGATATTACTTCCTAAAACAGACAATCAAAATATTCTAGGAAAGAAATATGATTACTTAGTTGAGAACGCCCATGAAAAACAAAGTATTATTTACAGCAAGGACAGGTAAAGATTGATCCTTTGCACCTGTAAATGCCTCTCACCTCATCTTTGAGGCTCTATACCAGATATCCATTACATATATTCTAAATGAAAGCATACGTCAGACTGGTAAAGAGTACTTAGGTGTCAGTTAGTTCATAATATTGGTCAGCAATGCACAGAAACACATTTTATATGAATTTTACCAAACAACTGAAAACAGTCAAACTGGATGAGATGAACTGGATATTAAAAAAAAAAAAAAGAAAAAAAAAACCACACACACATTTGCATACCTGCTTGCTCCGCAAGCAATTAGGGAAGCAGGATACTTGCGAACTATCTGTAATTCCATCTCCTTGTAGAAATGGCATGTTCTTTCTGCCGAACTTTGCAACAAGAGATATTGCTTTCTACTGTACTCCTTATCTTCTCCAGCTAAAGTGTTGTCTGACCCATCCGACTCCAGTGCCTTCAAGATTGTTATCCTGGATTCTACTAGCTGGTCACAGACCAACCTCCTCATAGGTTGCAGTGGAGTTACTACGATAAGGGAAATGAGAGACTTCCTGGCTCTGTCTACAGCCAGTTTCCTAAAAAGCTCAGAGCAAAGATACTGTGGAGGTGAGAGACAGACGGACAGGACAAGACCAAACAGCCAACCTTACCTTGGACAGCTCCTCAGTTCCACTTCCTCCTGCAAAAAAGGAAAACTGTGTCACATTGGTGGGCAATAACCCCGGTGTAGTTAATATTTAAAGGAGTAAGATGAGCACAAGGCAGAGACACAAGTAACGAGAAGGGTGTTGTATTGCTCTTCACTTCAGAGCTTAGTCACGTACTTTCTGTCTCAATCACCTAATTGCCCTAAGCAAGTCTGATTGGCTAGCATCACCCAGAAGACACCATAACAGGGAAAAGACAGCAAGTCAGAGAAAAGCAAAGAAGCAGAGCACTATGGAGAAAGGGATAGGGAGTTTGCAAATAGACTTGGAGAAGGTACATAAAAGAGGGTGAGAAGATTAAAGGGAAGATTGATAGGAGAACTGAATGAGGAGAGGGTGAGGAAGTGAGCAAGAAAAGTAAGAAATCATGTAGGAGGGAGCGAACAAGACATGGAGATGGAAGAAATGTAAGAAAAAGCGTGTAGAAAAAGGGAGTGATAGAACTGGATAGTGAAATGGCAAGGAAAATGGGAAAATGATATGGAAGACACGAACGAGGGAGATGCAGAAACATATGGTGAGCACAAAATAAAAGAACGTACAGAAACATAGCAAGAAAAGGGTCCATATCATAGTGATACCAGCTTCTGGGGCATCACATCCTTTTTTAAGTACCTTCCTCAAATTTCCAAACCTTACATCTATGTCCCAAGACAAAACAATATTAACTGGTTCAGCCATCAATCCATTAACAGAGTAATGGATATACTTTGATCTCTGGGAAGGTGTTATTACGTTCTATCCTCTTAACAGCGGTCATAATCTTGACGCCACTCTGTGATTAAAAATGTAATTTTTAATCTGTTTAATTATGAGGATAGGTACAGTCATTGCTTAAATTTGGCTTTGGCACCATAAACAAAATAGCTGATCATGTCTACGAGTCAAACAATTTCCATCTAGTATCCAAATGATAACATCATCTGCATACTCATCAAGTGGCACGGATACAAATAAGAAAGTTTTACTGCTTACTTGCCCTATGACTTCTTCTCTAGTGAAATTCGCAACTCTTAGGATCTCCTAACAGCAAGTCAGACTATTTGGACTAAACTCCAATAGGAATGAAGGGAAACATTCCCAGGCTCTTACTTGATTATTATCAATTAAGTGTGGCAGTCCACACAAAAAGGCCAATCTTGCCTGTAGCCAGAGAGGTGTATTAGAAGTAGAAAAAAATATTAGAAATAAATTACTGCAATTAGAGAGATGAGCCCATTTAAGGAACAGTAAAACCAAGTACTAAGCAGTAATGAAAATACTAACCTCCTTCATATATTTTCCCTTTTTTTAGGCATGCAATTTGTCATTGGTCATGGTTCCCTATTTCTCTATCATAAGGATTTGTATCTGGAAAGCATTCTGCTAGGGTAGGAAGGCAAATAATAGTAATGAAAAACCTCATGAAAATTACATTCTATCAAGTAAGTGCTGATATAGATGTTCTGTTATCAAAGCCTTTTAAATCTCAAACAAATAAATCCCTCAATCAACATAAATGGGCTCTTGGGGGGAGATGAAGGAGGAAAACTACTCAGAAGACTACACTGTTGGATATATGGATTGGATGGATTTAGAATTAAGAAAGCATTTGTGAAAGCTTTTGCTTCTTCCAAAATCAAACAATTTGCTTTTTAAATTGAGCTAAATTAAGGATATAAATAATTATATTTCAATTGTGGATTTACAAATGTTTGGATGAAATAATTTTTGAGCTCAGTATCGTTTTTACCAAAGCAAATCACTATGGGCTCTCTTCATCTACAGTGATCTGCTGCCTCAGGCACTGCACAGTTCCTTGCTCCACAATAAGCTGACAGCTGACTTATTCAATAAAAAAGTCTGTCTGTCTGTCTGTCTATGGAAGACATTTTCTTATTTTCTTCCATATTGTATAAAAGGAGCTTCTCCCCTCTTGTAGATCTTAGCACATAATTCATGATGCCTAGCCTCAGGCTGGAAATCTCTGAGAACGGCTGCAGAATTTTGTTGAGCTACACAGCGTTATCCACCTCTCCTCCCCACCCAAATCAGTTCAGATGTTCTGGAGAGTCTCTGTTGGGCCACCCTTCACATGCACAAATCAGAAAATATTTTTTTCTGAGATCTTAAGGTAGTAAAGACATTTTGAGCTACTCTACCAGATTATTTCTTAATCTGGTACCAGATTATTAAGAAATAATCTGGTACCAGATTAAAAAATAGTAAGCCAATGGGATTTAATGCAACAATAAGCTTTTCTTTAATCATTAGACCATGGAGAACTTGGGGAAGTCGATTCATTCAGAGTTGCTGGGTCATTAAAGTATCTAAGCTGCAAAACTTTAGCTGCGGAACAAGTTAGATGTAAATTCAAGCCCATCTGAATGAGTAAATCATTGCAGAATTTATGGATAAAACATTAATTGGGAGGACTGTAATCCACACAGCTCTCTGGATCTTGGAAAAAATGTGGAAAATATCACGTCAGTTTATATTACTAAATTAGTAAAGCACAGTAAATGGAATTACTTACAGAATAATTTAAATAAATCAATTTTGATAACTTTAAACTATTGAGAGACTTGAGTTTGCCTGCGAAAAACTGTCTAGTTTTACAACTTTACGCCTGTGGAGTAGGATTCCTGTTTTCATCTTTGTAGTCAGAGATCTCTGTCTCAATTAAACAAAACAAAAATCCCACAAACAAATGCACATATCTAGTCAGGCTATAGGTTGAAGCAAATATATAGGAATTTAGCTGCACAAAAAATAAACAAATGATTGTAGGTTTGGATAACGTATCTACTTACAATGATTTACAATTATGCATGTACCTCCCTCTATGGAGGCAAACGGAGTCAGCAGATGCCTCATAATGCTTTTATTTCTATACTAGGCAAGGTTTATTCTCTCACAGCCCAAACATGTGATCTGAAAAGCGACGGCTTAGGCCTCTGGGGTTTTTTTGCATGCTGTTATACAACACAGAAATTCTTCTGGCAGCGTATATCTATGTCTACATCTATACAGTACTGGCTTTCTACAAAGACAAATTAGTTTATTGTATTTCCAGAAGGAATGGATCTTATGATCAACAGAATCTGCCTTCAATCCTTCCACTGAGAGAAGATTTACAACTCAATGAAATGATGCTGGCCCTGTGCGATCAATGCAGGTGTTGAATTCTGTATATACATCTACAAAGTGGACACTAAAGACTAACTCCTCTCAAGTTATACGAGCACAGCCTTCGTTGCCCATTTTGGGCTTTCTTACTGTTCTGTGGTTATGCAGAAGCCATAAAGACATCAGATCTCTCTTTGAAGAAATGTCAGTAAGGGACACTCTGCAGAGATATAAAGTCAGCAGAACTCTCCACCAGTCAACTCACAACACAAAGAGAGCAGGGCAAGCAGAGGCCTGCAGAAGCTACGGCTATTGTCAACAGGATTTGCCTTCCATCCTTCCACTCAGGCCAAGTTTACAACTCAATGAAATGATGATGAGTTGAGCTATTCAGCACTGCTGAATCTTTCCACAGAGAACTGTTGCAGGCAACAAAGTAAAGGTACACTTCAGGCTACTTCAGCTTATGTAAGATAAAACTTCTAGGGAGGTTAGGGCTAACAGTGTTTGTTATGTGCCCGTTTCCTTCCTAGACTATGTCAAATTAAGGAACAACCACCTAGGGAAAGCAAGGTGCTAAATGGAAGAACATGAGGCTAAAAGCATTCATTAAGTCATTAGATATGCCTAATTCCCTGCTCTTCCTCACTTCTTGCTATGCTGTCCATTAGCGATTATTAGAGCAGCCATACAGAGCAAGGACTCACTGCTACCCTGTGCGGTGAGCCACACAGATCAGGTAGATACACAGCCTCCACTTCTGCTTGCCCTATTGCAAAACCATCTTGTATTTTCTACACATTCTGCAAACATAACAAGCAGCAGCAGCACAGATATCTGTGGGAACCGAATGAATCTGGGACCATCAGCAATAACTGCCTACTCCCAAATGCTATCTGAAAAAATCAGCAGTAAGAGCAGATTTTGTAGGTACATTCTAGAAGACACAGACTGAATTTAGATGCGGAGTTGACAACATGAAAATTATATATCCTAATACGCATATGCTCCCAAGTATGTGTAGAAATATTTATTAAAGCAGTCTACTTACTGTAAAGGAACTAATTGTTAGTAATTCAATGGCTTTTTAAAAGCAAGTTACTGAATGAGTGCAATTATAGAAAATGACACCTATTTAACTCTCAAGCACATATTGTAGAGGCATACCTGTAAAGCAGAATATGACCCACATTACTCAAGTAACAAACACATATCTCCATTTTTTGTGCAAGTTACACCTAACAATTACAATCCCTACAACTCAGTGAAAAGTTGTAATGGCTTGAATAGGTTTAAAATATTCCACTCAGAGGAAATGAAGAACTGCACCAAGACAAATCACCCTCTTCTTTCATGATGAATATCTTCCCATTACTAGTCACCATTACTTATGATGATTTTCCTTCAGTTATTAAGCTAATTCATTCACTCTGTGTTTTATTATTCTTTGCCCTAGCTTTTAGCACAGGGAGAAATGGAAGTTTGCTGCAGCGGTTTAAGGTGTTGGCAAGACTCAGAAGACTCTAGTTCAGCTCTCAGTTCCACTTGAGGCAAATTGCCATGGCACAGCTTACAAAGGTTGCTTCTGTAACTACGAGGAGGAAAGAGCAACATTTTTTGCTTCAGGAGCCTTAAAGATAGTGGTGTTTTATACTGGAGAAAAGTCTCATCACTAGAATAATGTATTCCTATTATCCACATGAGAAGCCATAAAGAAAATTTTTCTGTCAATATCACTGAATCGATACTAAGCTCTTCTGGCAGAACTATACGAGGTACTTCTAACCAAAAGAGCCATTCCAGCAAAGCTGAAGTCTTGTTAAAGTCTTGACGTTCATATTTCAGTTTCTCAGCTATAAAATAG